AGACGTGCAGCTGCAAATCCACCCTTCTGTTTCGGCCTGGCTCCACGAGCGGATCTCTTGATGCCTGCCGCCCCATCCGCCCCCAGGTAAGTGACGCTGTCCTTGAGCACGTCCAGGTTGACCCCGACCTCCTGGCAGATGGCCTTGCCGAGCTCCTTCGACGAGGCAATCAAGGCTACCTTGTCTACGTTCAGCGCGGCGTTGATGGAGCTCGGCATAGCTAGGAACTCCGTGAACGACTTCACTGCAACACCTTTCGCAATGTCAAACGAGAACGAAGAATTGCCAACCGCAGTGTCGTCTATGCAGGTCGGCATGGTGACTGTGGGACATCGATTGAGAAAAGCATCCATTTCGGCCACGGAATGAATCTTGATCGCAAAATCTGCAAACCCATCGCCAGCTGGAAAGCCATGTTCAGCGCACAGTGGAACCAGCGAGCGATGTCGGCCGCAGCGAATAATTCGCGGTGCTCTCCATGTGTTGTACACAAGCTTCAGCCAACATGTGGGGATGCCCACTCGAATACATTTCTCTCGGAACAACAGCAAGGGAATCGATTCATAATACTTGGACCAATCAATCACCCATAACGCTGAGTGAAGGGAGTCAGCCTGGTTCGCTTCAGCTCGTGCTGCTTGAAGCCATGCACAGTCGATCGCTGGCCTGCCCCTGGGAGCACCCCAGAACTTTCGCTCCAAGTTGTCTATCACTCCAGCTACCACGCTGCGCCTAGCTCTCTGCCATACCCTGTACATTCCCGCGTACAAGATGATCAGTCTATTGCCTCCAGTGGGCTTGCCTAACATCGGCATCTGAATCCAGCAGAGTTGCTTGGGCAGCATTCCAATGGCCTCCGAAATCGCCCAGATGCCACTGAGAACCTCCAAACCAGAGCCCCCTAAGAGCAGAGCGTGACGCGGGTGAAAATGATCGAATGACGAGGCCGTTCCTCTGGGGAAAGTCCTCGCAACTCGTGCATGTGGTACGATCTGGAATCCATGCAAACGGTGCCGTATCGGTTGCCTTCCAGAGCCTGCGGTATGCATCAACTTCCCCTTGTACGATGTCTCGTGGATCGCCCGAGACTACATCACCCTGTGACACGGCAGGAACAAATATTTTGCGCACCTTCGTTACCCGATGAAGAGCCCTGGCACCCTTCGCAGAAGCTTCAATACACCAACATTCCCAGGCCTCTGCCACATCTCGCATCATGGCTTTACTGGCAAATTCCACGTCGTCTGCGATCTCTTCGACGAATTGGAGAATGTCGTCTACCTCCATCGGGATACGCGCAACCATCGCTCGAGCCTGCAAGACTGACGCGTCCAGTCTTCCACTTAGCCCTTGGCCACTGTAAGGATTGGCAAGGAAGTGGTCTATCTCTTCAGAACATTGCTCCAGGCACTGCGTGCCTCTGAAGAGATGAGTGATCGTAGCTAGACTTGTAGATAACCGCTGCCATCCGTCAGCAACTGCTTGAGCCATCAAGTTAGGCTTCTCCTGATAACTGACATCAACCCACCTCGGCTGTAAGTTTCGACCAAAACTACCTGCCTGCACTAGATCGCATCCTGTCGCGTGGGCCACCTCAATCGCAGCAGCGACCGCGAACTGCCCCCACAGTCTAGATAGAAGCGCCCACGCCACTGCAACATCGCTGTTCACGTCCTGAGCCATGTCCAAGCACGTGTTCGCCAGAATTTGGTGCGTGCTCCAATTCGGGCCCTCTCGAAGCGGCCCTGTGATTCGCTCAACTGGGAGAGCGGGCGCAACCGTGTAGATGAAATGACGAATCTTCTGTCCGTGGTCTAAGTTGAGCAACGCTGGTCGATGTGGACGCTTGCACCGACGCTTGCACCAACGCATGTCGGCTTCCACGCCCTGAAAACCTCGCAGAGCAGCATCGCTCAGCGCATGGTAGTCGATGGTCGACGCTCCTGTGCCTCCTCGACATGTTGCCTGCTTCGGCACTGCCGCTGTGACATTGGCCAACCTCGGGGACCCTGAGCTCTCAAGTTGCGCCGCAGACATATTCCAGTCCGCCCCAGCAATAACAGGAGCCTGTATCTGAGCAAATAGGAGACCCATGCGAGAGAAAATGTCACTGTTGACCCCCGTCACACCGATGCCGTCCTTGAGATGCGCATTTAGCACATGCAGCGGCGGCCAGCCTGGCAGATCGATAAGCGCATGCTGGCATCGATGAGGAAAAACTACATGATCATGGTGAACAGGTGCCCTGAGCCAAATATCGCTGCGAACCAAAACGGCAACGCCCGCGGAGCAGGCTTTGCGAACTGCGCTTGCTCGACTGGGGCGACTGGGAACTGCCATCATCTTCCATCCTCGAGCGTGCGCCCATGAGAACAAAGATTCCAAAGCACCTTCACAAAATCCGATTTCCTGCAGCAGCAGGATGTGGGCAGATGACTTTTGAATCTTCTCTTTCACCGTCTGCTTGCCACCGTTGCCGTTGAAGCACTCGACGACATAGTGTCCAAGAGCCTGTGCAGGAGGGGGCATATTCGTCATTCCCTGGGCGACCGGTAGTCCAGAGACCCGAATAGGTGCATGCCCTTGCTGCCCTAGCTCCAACGTCCACCGCGTAGGGGTATCAGGAACAACGCTGTTTCTTCGCAAGTTCTTTGTATACCCATTGAAAGCTGGAGAAATCGTTGGCCTTGCCATGCTCAAAGAGATCCTTGAGCTCTGTTTTCCGAAAGCTTGTCACAGGTCCTCTTGGAGGTGGAGTCGGGCGCGCGAGCACCATGAGATTCAGGAGGCACTTCATCAGTATCAGCGGGAGTAGCAGCAGCGCCCTTCTGTGAAACGAACGTGCCTGCCTTGATCTTATGCATGATAACTTCCTTGAGCGTTGACCGCAACTCGGAGTCGAGGAAGGTCTTGAGCTCTTCTGCCTGAACATCATCTGCGGAGACGGAGATGTCGAACTCAGTCTCCATAACTGAATCGGCCCCCTTGTCGGCTGCAATCGCGGCTGTCGGCTGCTTGTGCTCGGCCTCAAGCGCTGTGACCTCAGCCTGCTTCGCTGCCAGGTGAGTCCTGCGCGCCTCGACCGACTCTTGAAGCTCTTTGAGTTGCTTCTCCTTCTCAGCAAACTCCTTTTCAAGGCGGTCCCTTTGAATCTTGGCCTTGCGCAAGTCCTGAGAGGCCCTGCGGTAGGCGATCTCAGGCGTGCGCAAAGCCTTCTGCCGCTCCTTGATCTCACGCACCTTCTCCATAGTGGCCTGCCTGACTGGATCGTCAGCATTATTGCTGGGAAGGTTCTTGAGCATGCTTTCGTACGCCGCCAACTGTACCGCCAGCTTCTCGCGCTTGGTTTTGTCATCGTCATCATCCGAGATCGGTTCCTTGTTGACGGCCGCTGGCGGCGGCGCAGCAGTCCACGGCGGCGGCTTGGCTGGATTTGGGCTGCTCCCAATGGTGAGGGTCCGCAGCAACTTCTTCAACTCCGCCAACTTCTTGGATGTCGTATCATTCTTGTCATACGTATCTTTATTGTTGCCCTTCTGTGGGGAGCTCTCGCCGTTGACACTCGCGCCGTGATGGTCCCAGGCCAGCTTCCTGATCCGCATCGGAGCTTCATTCCCGCACTGACAGCGGATCCTCGATGCCCAGTGCGCCGAGGCAGCGCAGCGTCCGCATCCCCATGTCGGCCGCCTCGGCCCGCGGAACACCGCAGGAGGAGGTGGGGAAGGCGCCATGGCGGCGGCGCCTTGGTCGTTGGTTACTCGTCTGTCTCCAGATGGAGGCGAAAGCGTATACAAGCCAAAAGGCTCGCTGCAGCGTCGCCGTTCTGAATCCAGCTGCAGCAAGCGCAAAACCTGCGCCAGAACGGCTGAGAGTGGGAGGGAGGGAGGGAGGAGGGGGAGGGAGGGAGGGAGGGATGGAGGGAGCGGGGGAAGGAGGGATGGGGCATTGGAGCCCCTGGTTCCCTTTCCCTGGTGGGGCGGCGCGTGGGCCTGGTGGTGGGATATGCTGCACTGGGGGACGGGATGTGCGCCAGCACTGGCCAGCCCTGAGTGCTGGGGCGACGCAGCTGGCCCACTATGGGACGCGGTCCGCGACCCCTCGCCAACCCTGCAGTCACGCCTGTGGCCGATTCCCAGGCGTGGGGAGGGTTAACACGCGTTTCCCCTGGAGCTTGTCTTCTTACATAAAAAACATACATACATACATACATACATACATACATACATACATACATACATACATACATACATACATACATACATACATACATACATACATACATACATACATACATACATACATACATACATACATACATACATACATACATACATACATACATACATGCATGCATACATACATACATACATACATACATACATACATACATACACATTTACATGTACATATACACACATACACATACACATACACATACACATACACATACACATACACATACATACATACATACATACATACATACATACATACATACATACATACACATATATGTGGTTATCGCGGCTCTGTTGAGGACAGCCGCGAATCTGTGTCGCCACTTGACCGCGCCAGTGACATACAGGGGCAGGGAATGGCCCCAGGCGCAAGTGACCTGTAGCGCGCAGCTTGCCGATCGTTGCGCAGGATGCAAGAACTAGAGGCCCTCTAGATGGGGTCCGAGTAGATGGGGTCGAAGCATCGCGCCGCATCGCCAATGCATCGCTGATGTATCGGCGACATATCTGCGACGTCGCCTGTACATCGGCAACGTCGGCGTGGAGAAAGTCGGGTTCCACATCGAGCCGCATCGTCGATGCGTCGGCAATGCGGCGCGATCCTCCGACCCCATCTACTCGGAGCCCATCCAGGAGGCCTAAAACGATTCTCGCACGCTCGCTCGGGCCTGGCCCGGCCCCACTCGTGAGCCGCGCGCTAAAGGTCCCTCTGGCGAAGGGCCCCTTGCACGCGGCAAGCGACCGAGAGGCGGCCCGGCGCGCCTCCTGGCAGCCCAGCCCGCGCGCCGACCTTGGGCTCCGGCTGGTCCTCGCCGAGGGTCGCCACGGCTCTCTGCGCTCTGGTCGGTCACTCGGCGTGGATGACAGCACACACGTCGCTCGAACATTATGTACATACAGGCATGCATGACGTATATCTTTCTCTATAGATATCATTATATATGTGTGTGTGTGTGTGCAAGCTGTCATTGGCGCTTCGCGCCATGAATATTGGTCATTCATGTTTGGCATGCGGGCGGAAAAGCGGAAAAGGTAAAATGGAAATGTTAGCGATAACGCCTTGTTGCCATTCCCGCCATCGTTGTGCTTCTTCTCTCTCCTCATCGCCCTCCCCTGCCCTGCGAATTCTTCCCCATCCGCATTAGTTTTTGTTTGCGGAGGCTCCTCCTTGAAAGACATCTTGGGGGCCTCACGAAAGTTGTACGGGCTTCTTAGGGCCTTCTGGAGGCCTCCTGGTTTTCTTCTTGGGGCTCTCGCGGGGCCCCGTTCGGCCGCCCTCCCGACCGATTTAAGGTCGTTGCCTATGCCCTGTGTGCGCTTCCAGGAGCCCCAGGAAGCCCAAGGAACCTAATTGCTGCAGGGGCGTCCGCGGGGCCCCGGGGGCCATGGATCCCGGGGCTCACGTGTTGAAAGGGGGGAGCTTCCTACCCCCAGGATTCCAAGCATATCGCAAAAGGAAATCTCTCCCTTTTTTTGCTTTGCCTTTTCTTTCTCTCTCTCTCTCTCTATCTCTACCTCTCCTTCTCTCTTTCTCTCTTTCTCTTTTTCTATCTCTCTCTCTCTCTCTCTTTCTCTCGCTACTTGTCCTTCTCGATCTCGCGTTCGCGCAATATCTCGTCATGGTGGTTTTGTGTTTATTGTCTAGCTCTCTCTCTATCTCCCCCCCTCTCTCTCTCTTTATTATGTCTTCGTTTTTTTAAGGGAGAAGAAGGGAGCGGACACCGAACGTGAACACCACGCACACGCAGCAGGGTTGTCCTGCGAACGTGGCCGAAACTCTGGCGGCAAACTCGTGCAGGGAGGGGGAAGACAGGAGGGCCAGGAGGCACGGGCACCCCAAAATGAGCAATAGCCCCGGGCCCGGGCAGGAAAATTAATGCACAGTTTTGACTCCGAGAATGCCGGTGCAAACTACAGTGTCCAACAACGCAAGAGTTGGGAGGGGCAAGGGGAGGAGGAGCGCACGGGCAAAGCACGAGGAGGAGGATTCCCTCTGTATCGCACAATCCCTATCGGTGTACATATTTGTATGTATGCATCGCTCTTTCGCTCTCCCAATCACGCGCTCTCGCTCGCTCGCCGTCCCCCTCATCGTCACCATCCGCATCATCGCCTTCCTTTTCATTGCCACCATCACCACCGCGATCAACATCACGACCATCACCACCATCATCATATCGTTCTGTCTGTCTGTCTCTCTCTCTCTTTTTTTCTATCTCTCTCTCTCTCTCTCCGCCGTGGGCTCGAGCTTTCCTTGATTGCGAGAGAACCCCGACGCGCTACCCTCAGAAACACGTGCCTTCAACGTCCTTTCATGGTGCGGCCGGAGGCAATGCGTTCCCCGCTGTGGCTGAAGTGCGTCATCATCCTCCTCATCATCTTCTACAACCTGCCGCCATGATGCGCGCCGCTGCCCTCTCGTGTCCAAGAGGAGGGGTCCCGTCCCAGGAGGTGGTCCCGGGAAGGGTAATTACCAGGGGGCACCTGGGGTTGTGACCGCTCCCCCGCTGCGGACTTTCCCCCTCGGCTTTCGCCTCCCAGGCGACTGCCACCGAGGAGACAGACAGCTATCCTCCTTCTCCTCGATATGATCTTGTTTTTCTTTTTCTTCATCCTCCTCCTCCTCCTCCTCCTCCTGCTATTTCTCCTCCTGCTCCTCCTCCTCCTCCTCCTCCTCCTGCTCTGTCTCCTCCTCCTGTCTCGTCGTCCTCCTCCTCCTCATCCTCCTCTTCTTCTTTCAATTGGTATTGTTATTCCTCCTCCTCCTTTTCCTCCTCTTCCTCCCCCTCCTCCTCCTCATCATCCTCCTGTTCCTTTTCTTCCTCCTCATCCTCCTGCGGTCGCCGTCGTGGTCGCGGTCGGCGGCACAGGCTGTAAGGCCTTCACGATGTATGTTCCCCCTAGAGAATGGAAAAATGTTTGCCTCTTGAAGCTCTTTCAGGTGGGTTCTAACAGGCCTCTTCGGGCGTTTTGGGAGCCTCTTGGGCCATCTGGAGGCCATCTGATGCGTCTTGAACCAATCGCTCGGCGACTCTTGGAGCCCTCTCGGCCCGTCGTTAGGGCCCTCCTGGGGAACTCGTGGGCCGTCTCGGGCGGGCCCTCCAGAGGCGCTCGGGGATCTACTGACCCGGGTCAATCCAAACCCAAAACAGTCAGGCATTGCAGGATCCTTCAAGATCATGCAGGATCCTGCAGGATCCTGCACGCAAGCCTGGGTGCGCTCTGGCTGACCCCCGCTTACATTGACGCCCGTCCCTTGGGCCCCGAGCCGCTCAGGAGGACCCAGCCCCTCCGGCGCGCTGGAGAGTAAGTCAGATCCGCTTGCTATGTAGATCGGTATTCATTGTATTAGAAACGCCGTACACTTGTATATATGTATATATACATATGTGAACATACATAAATGTACAACTGTAAACTCATACATCTACATGTATTTCGAGACATCTATGAACATACAAAACACGCACATATACGCATGCTTAATACATCGATGTGCAGTTTTGTCAAAGTAGATCGAAGGGTCTCCGCTGCGAGGCCGTATTCACCGCCTGTGGCCGATCTCCTCGAATCATCATGTATAAAAATGACGGTGGAGCGGCGGTGAGGCGGTGGACATGAATAAATACATGTCTAGACACCAGCGGTCCAAATATATCCATACTCGCTCGACTCTCGAGGTCCAAGAATATCGGTTCCCAAAGCGATGCATGTGGTTAAATCCCAGCCTCGGGTCCGCTATCAAGCGGTTAGCCTCCTATACTCCAGAACACTGGTGGCACAGGAAGACACCGAAGACTCCCACGAGGGCCCCAAGATAGTTCCAAGGGGGCCTCATGGGACCCTCAAGGGCTTCCGAAACGACACCGAAATAAACTTCCAAAGAACTCCCGCATCGAAAGACCCGCCAATGCATTTGTAGTTGACCCAGGGTCTTTTCATGCTGTCCTGAAGCTTCGGTTTGACAGCTGACCCCCCCCCTCCCCCTTTGTTCAACTGCTTGATCCTACTTCAAAGTAAGTCTTCTGGACATCGTTTCTGGATGGGCTGGTGTGGAGACTCGAAATGTGAAGAATTGAGCCCAGAACAACTCCTCACATTCACGCGGCTGCAGGGGCTGCAGGGGCTGTGGTCATGGAGCACTGAACGGGGGCTAAGCAACTGACTGGCATCTCTCGCGCGCGCCTGCACTTCCAGTCAGTCGAGCCGCCACGCGACATGTCCACTGGCAGCCCCCTGACAGAAGTCAGTAAGCCCTGGAGGTCAACACATGTTCGACACGACGCGGCAAAGCATTCAAACGAACACTCGGCACAGGTGGTTGTCCGCCGCAGTCCCCGCAATAAAACGAGCCGCCGTGAGGATCACTTGTACGGGCGCAGAACCGTACGTGCGCAAAAGCACGGACGCTTTCCGAGGTGGCCAAGGTGGAAGAGGAAATTGGGCCAAAGAACAAGATCACGATGCAGCAGATTGAAAGATATGCCAGGTGTCCTGTCGGATACGGCAGGGGACAACTACTGTAAGTGTTCGCTGGACCTCCCCATCGAAGACCAACTCGTCTCCACCTCACCGCTCGCCTGCGCATGGCCTGGTTAGCAAATTGTGTGTTCTCGTCCTCCTCGCCCTCCTCCTCATCATTATCTTTATCATCAGCATCATCATCAGCAGCATCATCAGCAGCACTATCAGTATCACCATCACCACCAACACCATCACCATCACCCTCACCATCACCATCACCATCGTCGTCATCACCATCACCACCATCAGCATCATCATCATCATCATCAACACTATCAGCATCATGATGTTCACCCCTCGGCGCTGCCCCACCCAGCGCTCCGAATCGAACGCAGCCAATGTGATGGGCAAGCGCGCCCGACAACAACGCACCATGCGACATAATCATGGATCGACGAATTGCGGTGGTCGTCCCCTTCTCCGAACCAGTCAAACGTCTAACGTATCCTGGCGCATTCGCCCAGACAACCCGATCCACAGTAATAAGTCCACACACGAATCTCTCTCTATCTCTCTCTCTCTATATATATATATGTATACGTGAATACATATGTACACATACATATATGTATGCATGCACATGCATACATACATACATACATACATACATGCATACATACATACATACATACGTACGTACGTACGTACGTACGTATATGCATACATACATACATACAAACATGCACACACATACATACATACATACATACATACATACATGTATGCATGCATGCATGCATGCATGCATGCATGCATACATACATACATACATACATACACTGACATACATACACATACATACATACATACATACATACATACATACATACAGGCATATACATACACACACATACATACATACATACATACATACATACATGCATACATACATACATACATATATACATACATCCATACATACATACATACATACATCCATACAAACATACATACATACATACGTACATGGATTCGTGGATGCCGTGACAATGGACACTCTAGCAATCCTGTCATTGAATGAAATATGTGTCTGAAATGTATAAAACATGTTCTTGCATGTTCCAAATCTGTGTTACATAGTTCAACCATGCTTGAAACATGTTTTGGCCATCTGGAAATTATGTGGCGACATGCTTCATCTCCATTGATCGACTTCCACACACATACATGCATACATTCATACATACATACATACAAATACACGTCGAGGCATACGTACGTACATACACACATGCATGCATGCATACACATACATACCTACATACATACATACCTACGTACATACATACATGCATGGATGCATACGTACACACATAATATACCCCATTTCCCCGCGCCAGATGCTGCGCAGCACGCGTCCTTCAGCGGTGGCGAGGAGCCGACTGGCTTGACGCCGGCCGACTTCCCAGACTGGGCGGCACCCTTGGCGGGAGAAGGCCTGCGCACGGGAGAGTCAGAGCGATCGAGCGGAAGGCCCGCAACACAGCATGGTGGTGACTGGTGGGAGCAAGTATGCTCTTGAGGGTCCCAAAATGGTGCGGTGACAGACCGTGCGATGTTCTCGGGGCCCCGGATGATCCGTCAACGTGTGTCGAGCGTCCTGGAACAGAGCACCCAGCACCATGAAACTGCACAACTCGTGCACGTCCACCAGGGCTTCCAACGGCTCCCAGCGAATACCTGCCTGCGCCCTCGGCCGGCAAATGTGTAAAAAAATTCCTGCGGATAGTTGCGCCCTGCAAGATGCACCATCGCACGTCGAAAACAAAAGCGTTGATTCACGGTTACGACCTGTTCAGCCCGTCTGGAGAGCCAAACTCTCCCAAGCGAGTCCTGACATCCCCGAAGAGTCTTCAAAGAAACGTTTCAAAATGCTCGAAACCTTCTGGGGATATTCCAAACAAAAACAACACGCCCAAGGAAACCCACACCAACTCCCACCGAAGATCAATGACGATCCAAGCGAGATCCGGGAAGGCCAAAACGAGCCAAATGATCCCTAACTCAAGTTTGCTGTTCATAGTTCCATCATGATTGGGTTTCGGATCAGCACGGCATCAAGATGGTTGCAGAGAGCACCAGCATCACCAAAGACAATCCGAAAGATCGCCCCTAGACATCCCCCAAACCCCAAGACGTAGACCCAAGGCCCTCAAACGGTTCCAAGAGAGGCACGTGAAGGTAAACGAGAACTGGCCCTGGAGGTCCCCCCCCTAAGATGGTCCCCGGAGACAGCCATCAAGCCCCCCACGAGCCCATCCATTGACCTGGCGAAGCGTGGAGGTGAAGCACTTGCGCTCCCCTGTTGTGCGGTACCCGCCTCCCCGCCGTCGAGATCTGCCCCCCTTCCGTGGTGGGCCTTGCGGGCGTCATAGGGCTGCCTGGGTTGGCACGAGGCGCTGGGGAGAGAACTCTGTCCTATCCCACGGGTGCCTGAAGCTCGGGCTTCCTGCTGGGAGCACTGCCTGCGAGCAGTGCGAGACCGCACCCGCGGTACAGCATTCGGTACGCAAGCGCGTGCGCGCAGACGTGAACCGAGTGGGCCCCGAGCGGTCGCCACTCCCGTCGCGCCAGCGTTGCTGACCATCCACCAAAGCAGACGGGAGGGGGAAATTCACTGGAACACTCGGGACTAGAGGGATGCGTACTTCCCGCTCAGCCGGAAGCGCGCAGGAACACTAGGGCACTAGGGATTACGGTGAGCACTACTGCGAAACCCTTACTCCAAGGAGTTGCATCCTCCTGCGGGTACACGAAATCAGGTCTTGGCCGACGCCTACGTCAAGAAATAAGATCTCCTAGCATGCACCGCGAGAACCTACCGAAAGCACTGAGACGAACAAGTGCCCGACTGTGCAGTGAGGGGAATGGAGGACAGGGACAAGGAGGAGGCTAGAGGGAAGAGGACGAGGTGGGAGGCGCACTCAGTCAAAACAACGACGCCCGACGTGAATCGAGGTTATCGGCTGCTCCGAGCTCTGGCCCGAGTAAACTGCGCCCTTTGGGATAGGCTCCATCAAATGTGGGGTCCGAGAAGGATCCGACAGCCTGCTTCGATCGTAGATGCTGTCATCGTGCTACCATAGAGAACGCTGACGAAGAGAAACGTTTTCGCCTCTCTTGCAGTCTCTGGCCGCAGCAAACCTCGGCCCCGGCCACGAATAGGCTCCCCTACCTGAAACTAAGAAGCGGCCTGGAAACAGGACCCCCTCCTGAACCCAATGTGGTCCTAATTGCAGCGTCTTGACTGCATTCTCCCTCTTGGGGGGCTACACGCAACACACATGATCGCTGAAGCAGAGGTGCAAGCAGATGACACGAGGGTCCAACGGCTCGACAATGGCACAAGCGGATACTGCCCACGACTAGACGTCGCAGAAGGCATGGCGCCTCCTGGTCTGCGGCGGCCCCAGGGAAGGCCTTGGCGATGGCACCTGAGGATCAAAAGCCGGTCGCTCCTCAATAGCTCGGCAAACTATATGCCCTTGCGTCCGGTGACGCTGACCACGGTTACGCTGCCACGTTGCTGATGACAGAAGTTCATGGTATAGATATGCTGCATGCCCTCACTTCTGACCATTCCTTTCCTTCCTGCACAGTCCACTCGCTGTCGGATCCTTCTTCCCAGTGCGTCCCTGGGCCACGTTCCCCCCTGTCCCCGCAGGCTCGCAGCGACGGGCCCAGCGCAGAGCAAAGACGGCGAGAAACCCTGGCAGAAGACGGCAACCCCCGTCGAACCGACCGCACTCCCGGAACAGAGGTGCAGGGACTGACCAACAATTCACCAAAGTCGCCGAACCACATACCAACGACAAATCCACCTGCTGTGCGGAACAATGAGGTGCATGGACCAGGCGGGGACAACGGCGAAGGACAAAACACGAGTGGCCAATCCCAACAGCCCTCAGGGCGTAGAGGGTTTCGCGGGTCTGTTTGTGGAACAACAACTCTCCTTCGGGGAAAGATTGATCAATACGCCCTACGTGTAAGCGCCCGCGTTCCATGCCGCCCGTTCCGCCTGGTCTCTGCCCCAAACCATGCAGCCTGCACGTTGCGGCCAACACCTGGCCATGTGCGAGCACCCCATCATCGTTACGCACTGTTGTTTGTCAAAGGGGCGAACATAACTTCCCGATGCGCGTGGCCACGGCCTCAATTGAGCGCGGATCACACTTACCTCCGCCTTCTCCTCCTCCCGACTCCGGGGCGCCCCCTGCGCCGCTCCACCAAAAACTGCTCGGTGCCAGAGCAAAGTTTCAGAGGTGCAGGAGACCAAGACTAGCCACGGGCAGCCGCGGCGAACACCTTTTGCTGATTTGCGGCCAGTTGGGTCCAACAGGCGGTCAAGCAGGCGGCGGGACGCATCCGATGCGACTTGAAGCACAAGGGCGCGGGCGGGCGAGGGTTGAGGAGAAGGAAGGCCACATGACGCCTGGAGGACCCTCAGGTCAAATAGACCTTCATGATGTGCCCGGGAGTAGGCTCCAACCGCGATGAACAGGCTGCACCCCCACCGGGACCGGCCGACCGCAAAAACTTGAACCGGAGCGAACACGCGCCACCGCGAGCCCAGAGCGGAGGGCGCCGCTGCTCGCGCATGGCGCCTTGCCGACCGCGCCTCTGTCGGCGAAGCTCCGCAGGTTGGGCGCGGGGCTGGCGCTGGGCACGGGCAGGCCCAGCGGCCTGGCCAGGCCCGGCTCCGGGGTTGGCGCCTGCAGAAGAGCGCAGGGGCGGCAGCGGGGGAGAGGGCGAGGAGGAGGGCGGGTCGGGGGAGGGAGTGGACAGAGGGGCGACGGTTGGAGGGAGGAGGGGGAAAGAAGCAGGGAGGGGAGGGAGGGAGGGAAGAGGGCAGACGAACAAAAACGAGGGGCAGTTCTCGCCATGCACACATGACACCCAAACTCAAACACATGACACCCAAACTCAAACAGCTGCTGCTCAGCTTGAACGCGCTGCTTCGGGGTAGCTAATTCATATCGCTTGCGTGGCACTGTTCCCAACCATCCTGTGGTGTTGGGTCCTCGTTTTGAAAAGACAACGTCCAACGTTCCTTCCCTCCTCCTCCTCCCGCTGCCCCCTCCCTCCTCCATCATCATCGTAATCGCCCGTTTCAGCACACCCATGTCGTCACAATCCTCACACGCTTCGTGGCCCCACAGGGAGCTCCACCGAAGGCCCCAGTGCCACCGCCCGCATGCGTCACGCACACCCATGTCGTCACAATCATCACACGCTTCGTGGCCCCACAGGGAGCTCCATCGAAGGCCTCAGTGCCACCGCCCGCATGCGTCGCGCACACCCATTCCGGCACACCCCTCACACATTTCGCGGCCCCACAGGGAGCTCCATCGAAGGCCCCAATGCCACCGCCCGCATGCGTCACGCACACCCATTCCGGCACACCCATCACACGCTTCGTGGCCCCATAGGGAGCTCCACCGAAGGCCCCAGTGCCACCGCCCGCATGCGTCACGCACACCCATTTCGGAACACCCCTCACACGCTTCGTGGCCCCAGAGGGAGCCCCACCGAAGGTCCCAGTTCCACCGCCCGCATGCGTCACGCACACCAATGTCGTCACAATCATCACACGCTTCGTGGCCCCACAGGGAGCTCCACTGAATGCATCAGTGTCAACGCCCGCATGCGCCACGCGCACCAAGTTCGGCACACCCCTCACACGCTTCGTGGCCCCAAAGAGAGCTTCACTGGAGGCCCCAGTGCCACCGCCTGCATGCGTCACCCACGCCCATTTCGGGACACCCCTCACACGCTTCGTGGCCTCACAGGGAGCTCCACCGAAGGCGCCTGTGGCTGCGTTCGCATGCGCCCACCGCGCCCATTTCGGCACACCCCACATACATTTCGCGGCGCCATGGGGAACTCCACCGACGGCCCCAATGGATGCGTTCGCATACGCCCACCGCACCTGTTTCGGCACACCTCCCGCGCGCTTCGTGGCCCCATAGAGAATTCCACCGACGGCCTCAGTGGCCCAGTGGCTGCTTTCGCGCCTACGGGACAAATTTTGGCACACCCCTCACACGTTTCATGGCCCTGTACGGAGCTCCTCCGACTGCGGTGCACACAACGAAAGTACTCACAACTGCATATGCACATTTCCTTGTTGTGCCTGGTCGGCTCCTTTTGTTTGAGCTGACTGGGGGGCGGGGGCGGAAGCGGCCTGCTCGATCAGGCCAATCGGAACTGTCTCGACCCCAAACCGGGCGGAACTCCTTGTCAAAGGCGGAACCACGCCGTCCTCAATCAGCTCAAGAAGGCCGACCATCCTCCCGTTTCCTCCTCCCCTTTCTCCTTCCCCTCCTTCCACTCCTACTCCTCCTCCTCCTTTTCCTCCTTGCCCCCCTCGCCCTCCCCCTCCCCCTCCCCCTCCTCCCACTCATCCTCCTCCCCCTCCTCCTCCTCCGCCTCCTCCTCCTCCTCATCCTACTCCTACTCCTCCCCATTCTCTTCATATGTTTCCTCTATCCACGCCCGCCTCCTCCTCCTCCCGCTCCTCCTCCTCCTTCTCCTCCGCCTCCTCCTCCTCCTCGTCCTCGTCCTCCTCCTCTTCCTTCTCCTCCCCCTCTTCCTCGTCCTCCTCCTCCTCCTCCTCCTGCTCCTCCTCCTCCTCCTCCCTCCTCCGCCTCCCCCTCCACCTCCTCCTCCTCCTCCTCCTCCTCCTCCTCCTCCTCCTCCTCTCCTCCTCCTCCTCCTCCTCCTCCTCCTCCTCCCTCCTCCTCCTCCGCCTCCTCTTTCTCCTCCTCCTCCTCTTCCTCCTCCTCCTCCTCCTCCTCCTCCTCCTCCCCCTTCTCCTCCTCTATTCCTCTTCCTTATAAATAGAGTCTCCATGTCGCACCCCGAGGCCAGTTTTACGGTGGGCTGGGCGTTTCGCCTGAGACTTCCTCGCCACGTATGACTCTGAAGCATACAAATTGGCAACAATGTCAAAGATGGAGGGCGGGTGGTTTTCAAACTGTGGCTCTCGCTTTAGCGCGGCGCACATCGCGCACATTCGTTTTAAACATTTGCAAACGTCTCACGGATTGAGGGCGGGCGGTGTTCAAAATGTGGCTCTCGCCTTAGCGCGGCGCACATTCGTTTTAAACATTTGCAAAAAAGCGTCACGGATTGAGTGCGGGTCGCTTTCAAAATGTGGTTCTCGCCCTAGCACGGCGCAAATATTTGTATAAACAGTTTGCAAGAGGTTCACGGATTGAGGGCGGTTCCTTTTCAAAACGTGGCCCTCGCCGAAACGCCGCGCAAATTCGTTTACTGAATGTTCAAGAATTTCACGGGTTCCCATCATCAACGCACCAGAAATGGTGTTTGGGAAAGATTCAGGATTATGCGGGTGCAACAATTACGTTGGTTCTCTGTGTTGAAGTTCTGAGAATGGCGTTCTCGCACGAGTCAGAATCGCCGAAACGCAACAATCAGGTTGATCCGTGGCGTTGGAATCCCGAGAACATTGTCTTGGCATGCTTCAGGGTCTTCAAACGTGTCTTCCAACGAGGCAGTCCCATCAATGGAAATGGGCCGCATCGGCGGTGCATCGGCGATGCGGCGCGATCCTCCGACCCGCTCTACTCCGACCCTATCTAGGAGGCCTAGAACCCAATCGGTTCTGTCGGGCTCAAACTTCGCGCTGCAAATGCAACGTTTGGCGCGTCTCCCTCGCCGGCGGGTCGGGAACATTAAACGACCCTGCTGCGAATTTTCAGACCATTCTCCTGCGGGGACCACGGCGATCGTGGGCTCTGTCGCGCGGAAAGGCGTTTCATCGGACTTTCCATATTTCTCTAACTTCTCCACCGTGGCGCTCCCCTGTTGCACGGACGCATCGCTCGCCTTCTGGGGTCTCTCGGGGGCCGTTGCGGAACGCGCCTTGGACTGCAGGCTTGCCCTTATTACCGAGAAGTACCACTTCTATTTTATCATGCAAACGGCAAATTCGTCACCGCCCCCCGCCCTGGCCACGCAAGTCCCCTCGAGCCTGAACATTACGCAATTTTCCCGTGAACGCGCACCGCGAATCATCATCCAATTTAGCGATTCCGTCCTCGTCGAGGGCGTGCTCTCCTTCTCTGTGGCATTCCTCTCTTTATTTCTCAAGGCTGGCCCGATTGTGCACCGCAGCTGTCGCCCTTCCGCTCGGCGTCTTGAAATTGCCCCATTCTTCGCTGAGGTCGGAGGCGGGCCCGTGCATGGCCTCCATTCTCGAAATTTGTCGTGGTTGCCATAGGTATTCTTCATTGATTGAATGGCCTTGAACTCCCTCATGGGTTTTTTGGTGCACCCAGTGCTCGCTCGAAATAATAATGTCCGCCATTTGGCCGGGGATGGTGTTTGTGCCCATACTTTCGGCGGTCAATTTTGCCAGCTCGGCGACCCTCGAAATCACCATTGCCGTTTCCGTTTCGCGTCTGCTCTCACGCATGTTCATGCTCAATAATGTAGCATTGGACTTGCCGAGCGTCTTCATCACCGTCATTGCGTGCTCACTGGACAATTCCCCGTTACTTGTGCGCTTTCGTTCACTCAAGTAGGTGGTAATCGCGCCACGGTTGGCCTATAGCGTGGCTTTGACGAATTATGGTTGCACTGTTGATTGGCCGTCAGGCAATTGACTCCAGAAGTGGCGAAGTTGTATTCCATCGTTTCCATTCTTAGTGGGGACATTCCAGATCCAAATCTCGTCGCCATGTTCTCCTTCCGCTACCACTCAAAATTCAAACAAAAAACGTAGCACTGATGATAAAACTCTCCTTTACAACAATCGGGCGGAATCAGTTAGCGTGTGCGTCCTGCACAAAAGGTAGGGTTCTAGATTGAAGCACCTCCTCCTCCTCCTTCTCCTCATCCTCCCCCTCCTCATCGTCACCAGCATCAGCAGCACCAGCATCCTCATCATAATCAACATCAGCAGCATCATGATCAGCATCATCACCATCATCACCACCATCACCATGATCATCACCACCGTCATCACCATCGTCAGCAACAGCAGCGTCATCATCATCATCATCAGCACCACCACCACCATCATCATCATCACCATCATCATCATCATCACCATCATCAACATCGTCACCATCATCATCCTGCTTCTTTCCGGCTTCGTCGTCCACGCCAGTGTCAGCCTCCTCTTCTCGCCTCCCCACTCCCCTAGTCCACGTCGCAATCACCCTCCCCGTTTTCCCCCGCTCGCCGCGCCCTGAACCACACGACCGAACCTGCAATCGTCCTCGTCCCCCCCCTCCCTCCACCTTTTCCCTCGTCACCTTCGCGATGGCCTTCCACCCCCATCGCCACGCCTTGAACGTCCCGGGCGCGCCTACATGTTTTGTCGTCTTGCTCCCCCACCTTTACCCCACGTCCTCATGGCAGCCCCCCGCCCCCCCCACTCCCCCCACACACCCCCAACACACATACACAAACACACACACACACATACACACCCACACACCCACACACACATCACACACACGCACACACCCACACATACACACACACACACACACACGCACTCACGCACGCACTCACGCACGCACGCACGCACACAAGCTCGCACACACACAGGCACAGACACAGTCACAGACACAGACACAGACACAGACACACACACACACAAACACACGCCTTCACACGCTTTCACATGCACACGCGCACACACAAACACACGCACACACACACACACACACACACACACACACACACACACACACACACACGCGCGCGCGCACGCACACGCACGCACGCACACACACACAACCACACACCCATCCACCGACACACACACACACACACACGCGCACACATACACAAACACACGCACATTCACAAACGCACACACACACATACACACACACTCTGCCGCCCTCCCCTTCCAGCCGCGCTCAGAACAACCACCAGAACGAGACTGCAGCTTCCAGGATTTCCTCCCCCGCCCTCCATGTTATCGCCCCCATCCCTCCAGAGAGGCCGCGCGCGCTGCAGCGCCCCCTGTCGGGGCGAAGCCCCCAGGGGGAGAAGAGCATCGCCGCACCTTGAACCTCACCACCGAGCCGATGCAGAACTCCCACATGAGGTTGGCCGCCAGCGCGCT